GAGGAGGAGAGCAGGGCCTGCATCGAGGAGGAGAGCAGGGCTTGCATGGAGGAGGAGAGCAGGGCTTGCATGGAGGCGGAGAGCAGGGCTTGCATGGAGGAGGAGAGCAGGGCCTGCACCGAACAGGAGAGCAGGGCCTGCACCGGGGAGGAGAGCAGGGCCTGCACCGGGGAGGAGAGCAGGGCCTGCACGGTGGAGAAGAGCAGGGCCTGCACCGCGGAGGAGAGCAGGGTCTGCACGGCGGAGAAGAGCAGGGCCTGCAGGGCTTGCTCACATGGCACGGGAGAGGAGAGCAGCAGCTCCGCGCAAGCCTACAACACACGTGCAAAGAAACTTCATGTCACTTTACAGATGTTTTTCCCTAAGGCAGATTTTTTTGTCAATGTAATTGGTATGAGGGTGAGATTTTCAGCCAACATAATTAAAGAAGCTGCACCTGGTTAGTCTAATATTAAGGCATTTTCATCAATGTTTTATGGGCTAAAGTATAAATGGTATAAGTAAAGTAATTCCTAAAGCATATGTAGCCAACCAAGCACTTTGTTCCGAGGAAACACACTTTTAGCTAGTAATATTTTGGAGATTTGTTCCTCTTTCAGTACCACTGAAGACTACTGCTGAAGTCAAAAAAGTGAAAATTGAACACTGTACAATTACAGGGCAGAACTTTTTATAAGAGGACTCATCAACAAAAAAACTCTCTTTTTATTCCATAAAGTTGCTCTCTACATATTTTGTAAAGCTGCATTATTTGCTTTCAAATAAAATATTTGGGCACTAGAATAAATTTTCTAAAGAATTTATGTTCCTTCATAACAAAGTAAAAAAGCTTAGCTTTTGTTCATACTTCAATTTCAAATGAGGAGGAAATTCATGCTACCTAACATGACCGATTTCTATGATTCAGGGACTTCTCTGAGTAAGGTCTCTACCTGCTCTGGAGAATAGACTTTTGGGCATCCAGGACAGACATCTCATCCCGCAATAGCTGAATCTGGTGGTCATAGTCACAAGGATAATGTAACTCTTTCAAGTTTTTGCACCCTCCAGCACGGGAAGCCTTCAGACTTAACCACACAGAAGAGTCAGTCACAAGTTTTATCAATGTAAACTATCCATCAATTAATCCTCATAATCAAACATGAGCAGAAAAAAAGGAAAATTATTGAGCAAGCTCCTCATGTTTTCTGAATAATTTCAGCATGCTTTCCTTATGCTGAAACACAGGAAAAATCAAAAGTTTAAAAACAAGTGAACCAAAGCAGAGCCTTGATCTTACTTTAAATTGTATAAGTGTATTGTGGCAGGAGAGTGGATATAGCACTCTGTGCTACAGGGAAAATAACTGGTGATTTTTAACATTTGATGTCCTTACACTAGCTCAGATGACCAGGTCTAAAATAAATTAATTTCTTTCTCATATTTAAGATGTTAACTAAACCAGCTCAGTATTCTTTCCTACAGATTAAAAACCTATGTATTTTCTTCCATCAGGTTCTTGGGCTCTTTGTCTTTGCTGTAATGTATTAGTCAGTCAAAGGATATCACAATTGTTATTCAAGTCATACCAAAAGCTAACAATTCCTCTCCTGCCGTCCCCAAAAGGAGTGTTTCTTAAAGATTGGCAGACAATCAGTGAAGCAAGTTTATCTTCTGCCCTTCACTCCTACTTAATATTAAAAACTATCCCAACATCTCTTCTTTCCCTCCAAACATCGGTATTACTGTTGCTTTCCTCTTACCAAAAGTGGAAGGAAAAAATAAAAAATATGTTTTCTATTTATTTTGAAGGTATTCACTCCAGCTTTCCTTTTCTTTACCGGAGGACCCTGGTGAGATTTTTGAGGACCTGAACTAACAAAAGCTCTAACACTTATCAATTGACAAGATTCCTGTTTTTTACTTTTTTAAGTACCTAAACTTTAAGTATACTTTTTTAAGGAGCAGGCTGACTGAGATGACAGGTAATAAGGCCAGCAACACCTGCTAAGAGGAAAAACTGCCCAGTTCCATCCTTAGTCAGCTCCTTCAGGAAAGACTTCTAGCAGGAATAATAGTAAAAGAGGGACTAAAGAATTCTACTATAAAGGACAACTGGGAAAGAAAAGCAGATTTGGGAAGGTGAGTTCTAGAAATAGGTATGTGGAAAATCCAAACTGATATTCTTGGAATCCCTTAGTAAGGACATGAAATTACATCACTTAATGTACTGACCCAAGACTTGTGAACATTCATTGTTCTCATGCTAACTGGATGCATGATAATCTATCTGCCACTTGGAGCTGCCTCTTAAATGGTCCTGAAACTGGTAATAACTTCACAAATTTGTATCTGAACCAATTTACTAATTTTTATATTATACTGCTCCACAAAATATGTTTTATGCAACTAGGCAAAAACTGTTCTGGCCTACTCACTTATCTGGAAATCCAACTGTCTTCATCCATCTTACGACAGTGGATTTTATTTTCTTGGATATTTACATATCAATTACATTGCATAATTAATTGTGACATGTTGGACGTCCTTTAGTAAGTGGTACACTATAGCTACTCAATTGATTTTTTATTTAGGGTTTGCCCAGTCTGCAACATTTCATAGACCATAACTCCACATGGGATTGTGATGGACTATACAAAACCTTTTTATGTAGGATACTGGCATGTTTTCCAACACCTGCCAGAAGCAAAACCTCCCAAGTCAATTTATGAATGTGGGCGTGACTGTATCATTTGTACCCCATTTTGGATACACACCATACAGAGCCTACACAAATTTTGAAACTCTGGTTTTAGGCCAGAAATGATAGACATCAAGGGAAAAATGTGGCTTACTGAAAAATAGAAAGCAAACAAAAGGAATTGCAGTTAATTTCCCTACTCTCGTTCCATCTGGTTGATCTCTATACGAGTTGAAGTTAGTTTGTCCTCCAGCTCTCGCAGTCGCCTTGGATTGCAGGTCAAATCTCTCAGCTGTAGCTCACATCCAGTTGAATCCTACCAGGAAATGAAGTCACACTGCTTGAATGCTCTACCTTATAGATTCCCTCAGCAAAGTACTACAGCATTATGGGCAGATGTATTTCTAAATATTTCAGCAACAACCATTTCTAAAGAAACTGAGAACAAAAACAGTTGCATTCTCTCTGAGACGTAACAATACCTTTCAGGCACACCAACCAAAGATTCAATTATATAAAGAAAAATATTCACTTATTTTATATCTCATGGTAGAAATTATGGAAGGTCTGCATATGCAAATTTACTGCATGAATCATCAGAACACAGTATTTTGCAGATGTGTTGCACAGTTGGTTTTTCTCAGTTAGTCAACTTCTGATTGACTACATCATCAACTAAAGTAAACTTTTTGGGATTTATGCACACAAAATAACAGAAAAAGTTATTAGAACACAGGAGGCAAGTATTGTCATTCCAGAAAGCACACTACTACACATGCAGCTGCCTTTAACCACCCATAGAATGGCCTGATAGTACTGGAATTAAATAAGTAACTGCGCAACAGGTTTTTCTTTAAATTTGGAATATCACATCCAACGACAAATCTGAAACTGGTATGCTTAGTGTAATGTCATTTAATAAAATTGTTATTTTATATTTTGTGGGGGTTTTGGCAGAACCCCACTCCTGCATTATACTAGACTCTGACTCTTAGGGGATATCACTTTATTTGCCCTATTTTAATTGTGAAAGATTTTGACAGAGAAGGTGTAAAAATGAGAAACCAAAGAACATGGAGACATCACTGTCAAATCTCAGGATCTTGAAGATCTTCCCCTAGTCTGAATTAGCCAACTCTCTTATTTTCTTTCAAAACAGAAAGTCACAACATCTCTGTCTTTTCTGCCAAACTGTTAGTATTACAACTCCTTCAGTGAATACCAAATACATATGAACTCCAAATATCATGGCAGGAGCATGGTGGTATCATGACATGCATGAGCGCTTCTTTTTAACGCTTCATTAGATAATATAATGTTAAGATATTCTTAGTGTTTTTTCTTCAAGGAAAAAAAATAAAAGAAGCTCACAGATTAATGCATGGAGTTCATGCACACCTTCAGCTTACACATGTATTTTCAGAGCATTATTTTTTTCTAGAAGAGATATGGCATAAATACTTTCATGACATCTCTGCAAATGTAAACATAGCAAATCTTTATCTAGAAAAGGAAAGCTGTATAATAACTTCTTATACAAAGCAAATTCCACCACAAGAGCATGGTTATCTCCATAGGTGTCTCCATAAGCAACTAAGGACATATTTCATTAAGTAAAATCTGAGAGGGAGGCTAATATTAACAGAAAATCATTAAAGCTCTTCTGCAAGTATAAATTCACATAGTTCTATTCCCTTAAAATAAGTTTCTTACACACCTGAGTGAGGTTTTCACATCTTGAAGGAGGAGAGCATAGGCTTGGTGACAGGGGATAGCTTTTTATTGTTTCTGTGCATTCATCTAAGAAAACATATACATTAAGAAATGGTGAGAACACTTACAGAAAGAGCCAGAGTTGGAAAAAATGCCACCTGTGAAATGTGTGTAATTAGTAATTAGACAAGGCACTGATTTACCTTCTTTAGATGTTTCATGGAGAATTGAGTAGAGCTGCTTTTGAATCTCATTGTTCAGTTCTAATATTTCACAGCATCGGCTCATATTTTCACCAGAGGAATTCATCTGTAAATTAATGTGCATTACTGCATCTGTGTGGGCTTTCTTACTTAAAGTTATTCCTGTCACAATCATGGCATTTCCCCCCCTATAATTACATCTTCCCAACCTTTTCTTACCGGATCCATTAGAATACTCATTTTTTAAGATTCACATTTTTAATAGGCAAATGAACATGACATCAGGACTTCTATGACCCAGTTAATTCACTACTTGGGAAAACATACTCCTTTTACATCATAAAGAGGTTGCAACCACAAGTGTCTCTAAAAGAAGAATCATAGAAGTTATGAATCTGAGTTAAAAAATTTTCAACAGTTATTAAAATGGTAATCTAGCAGATTGTTGTATTTTAAAAAATAGTCCAAAATCTGGTTTTCCATATTAGGTGAACTAACATGCAATTTCACTTGATTTTTAAGAGTTACAAACTGAAACATGTACTACTGAAGGACCAAAACCCAGCATTATGCCTAGGGAACAGCAAAACTATATCACTTTCAGCAAATGAAATTTTTAAAAGGAACCGATGGGGTTAATCTGTCCAGGATACTACCACACCTGCCAGGAGAATACACACTTTTTACCTGCTTCCTTAGCCTTTATCTGTAACCTGTGTATCACCTTCCACATAGATAACCCTCTAGGTCTTCAGGTTTTAATGATTCCGTATGTTTTTACAAGCTTTCAAAACAGCTGAAATTCCCCCCCCCCATGCCCCCATCAGTGTTTTGATTGCTGCAACAGGCTTTCCTCGTGCCTTGGGGAGCGCTACCTGCTCACCTCCGAAAGAACCTGGCTGCAAATTGCATTTTTCCAGCTCATTACAGCAATGTAATACGGTGTTTCTATCTGCCAGCTCCTCTTTTCCTGAAACACAGCCTGAAACTGTTCATCTTCATTTCTCAAGACCTGAAAGACTATTCCCAACCAACTTATGATGGAGAGGTCAACCCGCACTGCTGCTCAGCCCTCCTAAGGTCTACCTCCACCATCCATTTGCAAGATTTTGAAATGCATGGCATTGCTCCTCCTCTGGCCTCCTCTGTGGTAGCTTTACCAGCTACTCTCAAACTCCTTAAAACTGTCCTTTGCCGTGAATCCTGCAGAAAGTTACACTGGCTATGTAACTGTAACTCCTATCCAGCCATGAAGTAAAAGAAAATAAGGGATTTCCCCTGAAAACGCTGCATCTCTCACCAACCACAGCACACAGTAGCTGGTTACAGGCTCGTTACCAACGGTCTGCATCCTGAAGGTACACAAACCTGGGGATGCAGGAGTGAAAACTCTGTTAAAGCACTGTTCCACTGAGCAAAGTCACAGCTGTCAACTCTCATGTTCCTTCGCCTCATCTTTCCCTAATTTTACACCTTCTCCTGCTTCCACTGTTGCACCACCTCAGTTTGCGGTTACTCCTCCATGGATTCCAGTACACCCATCTGCAGCCTTCTCCTCATACCCGAAACTCTTCCCTCCTCGCCGTTCCGAAGCCCTTCAGCGGCTGTGCTGCCTGGCAGCAGCCTCCCAGCTCTAACAGGTTTCCCCACCCAGAAGAGCTGGGATGCTGGATAACCCGTTCTCACTTTCAGCACCCTTTTCCCTCACGTTCCCCTGACCGTTCCTGGGCCGCAGCCGATTCCTTCGGCGCCCAACCCCACCCGTGGTCCCTCCACCCGCCGATCTTTCACTCCAACGCTCTCTTCTGTTCTAAAAGCAGCCAGTACCGCTCAAATCTCACTTTTAATCTCTGACCCTTGTTTTCAGGGGACCTTGTCATGGACAAAAAGCCAAACAACCGAAGCTGTGGGTGCTTAAAAGGTGTTAAAACTGCGCTAACGGGATGCGCGTGCGGGGCAGTGTCCCGAGCGCCAGCCGCTGCCTCCGGCCCTGAGGAGAGGCAGGACAGACCTCATAGTCATGATGCCAGCTCTCCAGCTTCTCCTGCAGCTCTCGGGCGCTCCCCGAGCCTACCAGACTCCTTAAGTCCTTAGCCATGGTCAGATGTCAGATGTCAGCTCACTCCCAGGGACGCAGCGCTGATTCCTCTGCCCCTCCGAGAGCGCTTCTCTGGCGGCGTAGGTGTAACAGAGACGGTAGAGGCAGCCCGGCCCCCTTTCCCTGGGCTTGGCCGCGTCCGAGGGCCTTTACAGCCGCGGTGGTGACGGGAGGGCCGGCGCGGCGGTGGTGGTGCCACGGTAACGCAGCGGCGATGGTCTGGCCGCCAGGCGGCGCTGCCGGGTAACGCCAGTGGGCGCGGGCCGCAGGGACCCGGCCCGCGGAGCGGCACCAGGGGGCGCCCGCGGCCCCGGCGCAGCGGCGGCGGGGGAAGATGGCGGCGGCCGCCGCCGAGCAGGTCCGTCCGCAGCGGGACACGGGCACGGGGAGGCGGCGGCGCCGTCCCCGCCGCGGCCAGGGGGGAGCGGAGGAACGGGGCCGCGGGGAGCAGGCGGTCCGGCCGTGGGGTGCTGCTTGCGGAGGGGGTGCGAGGGCGCCATTTTCGCCGCGGTAGGCGAGGCTGCTGTGCTGGAGCGCTCCGGCCGAGGAGGCGAGAACAGCGCTCGGGCGGCGCTTCCCGCCCCATGCCCGGCGGTGTCCGGGCAGGACGGGCTCGGCCGTGCCGGGGAGAGGCAGCCCGAGCCTGCTGCCAGGCGGAGCGGCCCGGAGGGGCGGTGTCCTGCCCGCAGGCGTGGGTGTGTGACAGACAGAAATAGTTTGTACCCTGGGAGGGAGTGAGTGAGGCGCCTGGCATTTGAGCGGTGCGGGGCGCTGGGCACTGACGAGGGGCCGGGAGGCGGCGGCGGGTGCCTGCGGGGTCTGCAGGGTCACAGTGCGTCCAGAACATCTCCGAGGGACCGAACCCTCCATAAACTCGTCCGGGTCGAGCACCTTTCTCAACACCATCTCTTATTAGTTCTTTAGCAGCAGATGAAAACACGGTGTTGCTGTTCGTTACATCAGTGTAGACATGTGCAAGTGCAGTTACTTAAGGCGTAGCTTTAGGATTCGCTACAAGTGGACAAACTTAATTCCGTCCAAAAGATCAAGCCCCTCTTTGAAGATGTGAATCCCTAAATAGCAGATTGTTCCATTCAGGGGAAGGGGAGCAAAATTTTGGACAGTTACGAAAATACATTAAAGGTTTATTTTCACTATGAATATGTACCAGAGTTTCCTCTTCTAATTTGTTGTATGACAGGCTATCCTTTACAATCTCTTAACCTCAGACTATTACATGAAAGCTACTCTGGCCAAGTTCACCATGCCAGGTTTGAAGCCTCACAGTACCTTTCTCAATGCTGCATGCAACAACAGGAATCGAATGCAAACCCTGTGCTGTCAAACTAATTTAAAAATTGTATCCACCACAGTCTTTTTGAATAGTCACTCAGAGTCTATCACACATGAGCATGGAGGGAACTAAAATGCTGTGTATTGGCAGATGACCTACAGGATTATGTATCATGCCTGAGAGGTAAAAACTTGATTAGTTTCTTGGTAACTGGTTTGTTTTAGTTTTTTAATTGTAACAATGTAATTAATAATTCCTATCTGCCATGATAAATACGAGATATAAAGCCATATATTGTCTGAAAGTATCTGGATTTTAAATTTAGTAATTGTGTTAGCAGAGGTTGCTGTGGTTCTAAGTGTGTATTCTGACAGCAGGATTGCAGACTGAAATCTAATACTGAACATAATATCCAGTATATTCCACTAGTCAACTGACTTTTTTTGCATACATATGTATGTGTTTTTGTAGGCAATTTGCATGCCTTTTAAAGCTAACCCATGCCTCGTGTTACAGCAAAGTTCTAATGGCCCGGTGAAGAAGTCTATGCGAGAGAAGGCAGTGGAACGCAGGAACGTTAATAAGGAGCACAACAGTAACTTCAAAGCAGGATACATTCCGATTGATGAAGACCGTCTCCATAAGACAGGGTTACGTGGCAGGAAAGGCAACTTGGCCATATGTGTGATTGTTGTTCTTTTCATTTTGGCCATCATCAATCTGATTGTGAGTATAATAGCTATAGTGTAAGCAACATTAGGTCATATTTCATTCTGACAGTTCAATAAAAAAAAACAAAAACGTTTCCAGTATAGCTGAGGACTTAAAATATACTGAAGGAGATTCTAATTTTCCTTTCTTTTTAGTTCTTTTGTAATCTGAGCAAGATTAGATGGAAGAATGGCGTAAATTCAGGCATGATTATTTCAGTTATCATGGTCACCCCATGAGAGTTATTAGTACATATGCATTCAGGATATATGGCATATAAACCATGATTATATTTTACATTACAGAGCTGTATGTGAACATTCAGAATTAACTAGCCACTGCACTTTGAAGCTTTACGGTTCTAATTACCACATTTTTATTTCTTGGTCAATGAGAAGTAATAAATTATTTTTCATAATTGCACATCTATGTGTGCCTTCTTGCAGGTCAGTGTTAAGGATATGCCAAGCTGAACTGTTCAGGAAATTTGTTTAGTCAGTGATTACCCTTAAACAGAAAAAAGATGTAATTATAGATGTGATTTAATTTTTATGTGTATGTAAATTATTTTAGTTACTGCTTCAAATAAGTCTAGAAATAATTTTAAGTGCTTTTCAGAATTAAATGTATTTATGATGTTTTCAGTAAGAACAGACTAAAGTAAACTCACACTTAAAGCTCACTTAAACACTGGCATTAATAATTGTTCAAATAAAACTTCTAATTAATACAATAATTCTGGCAGTAAGATCCGACCAATCAACATAATCTTTGAAAATGTGTTTCTGTTTCAGATTACCCTGGTTATCTGGGCAGTGATAAGAATTGGTCCCAATGGTTGTGACAGTATGGAATTCCATGAGAGTGGCTTGTTGCGGTTTAAGCAAGTGTCTGACATGGGTGTTATACATCCCTTATATAAAAGCACTGTAGGAGGGAGACGGAATGAAGACTTGGTGATCACTGGGAATAATCAGCCTGTAAGTTATACCATGAATTGAAAGTTTGTGAGCAACACTAGAGAATTACACTCAGATTGCTAATAAATGTTACATTTGAAACATCATTAAGTTCATGACTTTGTTTCTGAAGATTGTATTTCAGCAAGGAACAACCAAGCTTAGTGTGGAAAAAGACAAAACTTCTATTACCAGCGATATTGGCATGGAATTTGTTGACCCACGAACACAAAATACTTTGTTCAGCACTGACTATGAAACTCATGAGTTTCATCTGCCAAATGGAGTTAAAATCTTGAATGTACAAAAGGCCTCGACTGAGAGGGTATGTCTCTTATTTTTTTAAGTAATAAGAATCCAGCCCATTGTTTTTTTGTGTAACAGTAAAGTAGGGTTAGTGGTTTTATAGAGGGTTGAGTGTGCCTTTGGAAGCACTGAGCAATCATGTTGCAGAAAAAACACAGCTATCAATACACAGGAGGAACAGATTAAGTGAAAACGGAAGGGTAAGTTTACATAATCTGATTTAACAGGAAGCCTGTATTTGGTACAAGTGTTAGCTGTGTATGACATAAAATTGTCACATGAATTTTTATTTTTATACAAAAAAATAATTTTACATACCTTCCAAAATTCAGTAATCCTGTTGTGAAATTGAATGTGGAAAATAACAAATATGCAGAATCTAATGGCAGAAGGGCAAAAAGTACATTCAAGTTTTTTATTGAATTGTATAGCACTACTTTTAAGGTAATTAAAGTTATTCAGACAAACACAAATGGCACATTTTCATTAAGGTGTAATACAGTTTTTTTTGATTATATTCTTAGATTACCAGCAATGCAACCAGTGATCTAAACATAAAGGTTGATGGTCGTGCCATTGTCCGGGGAAATGAAGGTGTTTTTATCACAGGCAAGACAATTGAGTTTCGAATGGGTGGAAACATGGAACTTAAAGCAGTAAGTATTTCAAATCAAAGCAGTTTTTTTAACAGCTTAGTTTCAAATATAGGCTGATAGTAAACTGATGTAGCTTTATGTTGTATTGCACTCTATATAGTTTCAAAATTTATATAAATTACAAATGCAAAGAAGTCATTATATTTAGTAGGATTTTAAATAGATGATTTATTACTTTGCTGTTAAGTAGTGGTTGAATAGCTTCAGGTAACATTAATTTACTACTGGTAAGACACCAAAAACCTATTACGGCCTCTGTACTGACATGAATACCAAAGGGAGTTAATCTCCCCTGGAAGCTTAACCGGGTTGGCAACCTTTGCCAGAAGAGCAAAGCTTATAGTTTGGAGCATTACCTTGTGTGCTGCTGCTGTAAGACTCACTAGCATTCCTTTAAGATTTTTGGAGATTAAGATGGCAGTATATACGGAACAATGGAAAAGAAGGACAAAGGTATATGCACTTTCAAATGTGAATGAATTTCATGTATGAACTCAAACACTGTTTCCCATTTCATGTCCATATTTTACATTTGCTTCATTTGCTATTAAGAATGTAAAGTGCAAAATCACACCAATGCTGTCTTTCTCAATATTGATCCACCATTGAAATAGCAAAATATTGCTGACTATAGTAAAGAAATCCATAGGCATTGCTATAATTTTCATTAAAAAATTAAACATTTGTATACATACCTTTCTATTATTGTTGATTCTACAGCCATCCTAGAGATGTTATTTATCCATTAAATGAACTTCTCAAAACCAATCTGCCTTATTTACATTAGAAGTTGTAATTTTACAACTTCTTTTTTTTTTTTCTCTCCTTAAAAGGAAAACAGCATCATCCTGAACGGAACTGTGATGGTCAGCCCATCACGACTGCCAAGTTCTTCTTACGGGGAACAATTCAATAATGGCAACTGGCTGCGCTTCAAGCTCTGCATGTGTGCGGACGGGACACTGTTCAAGGTTCAGGTGACAGGGCATAACATGGGCTGTCAGACCTCTGTCAACCCGTGTGGAGCCACACACTGAAACAGACTGCTGCTGGGACACGTCTCGTTTGTGTTTACATAGATTTGTATGAAGTAATTGCATGCTTTCAAGGGTTTCTTTTTTTTACAGCAGTTTATACTAACATTTCTTACATAGTATTTTTAAGGAAAGGCTGTTACAGTCAGCAATATTAGGTCATCATCCTGTTAGCTGCAAGTAGTAGCACTGAATCAGTAAGCTTTCAGGGTATTTGCATACTGAAGTACCTTCTCAAATTGGGATATATGTAAAGAACACAATCGTGGCAACAACTCTACTGCTTACACTTGTCTCTAGAGGGGGTTTTTGTCCTGTGTCCCAAGACGTTGAAGACTGCTGAGAACACACAACTGCAGTCTGAAGTACTTCAACCGGAATGTCAACTTTTTGTTGGAAATAGATTTTCATAGGACGGCTGAAGTGGCAGACTTTTCTTTCTTGTTGATACATTGATTTACCACAAACTTAGGTGGTTTACCAGATGTGTACTGAGAAGGATAATGGCAGATTCACTTTAAAATATTGTATTATTTCTGCCATGTATTCTCATGTTGTTAAAAAAAATTATGCTATCATAAATAATATTTGCAAAGTAATACTGAATATGGAAATGTAACTTGAATTTTGAAGTAGTCTTGCGGTTATTGAAGTGTTGCTTGAACTTCCATTCTGTCTGTGCAGCTAATGCATTCTACAGTTGCTTAATTTATGTGAAGTACTTACAAAACGTGTTTATATTAGAAGTACATTTTTAAAGATGTACTTATACCTTGCTTACCACCCAAAAATAGTGTTTTCCTGAGTGCTCTAATGTAAACAGTGTCTGAGTCCATTACTCAATAGGTAATAATCTAAGCATAACTGTTGCAGCAGTGTCTGAGGTCAGATCTCTCCTTCCCATAAATGTCTGTACTGATGCATTACTGAGAACATCAGAATTAAATTCTGAAGTTAAACTGCAGGTCTGTAATTCTAAATGTGCTGGTAGGACATCAGGGTAAATACATCTGTATCAAAATTTGGCAACAGTGAAACTATGCTGAACTGGGGCCTATTACAGCCTTCCAACTCCTTTTGCAGCAGTGAGGTGTTTTGTGCTAAAAATAAACTAGCTATTTATAAGATTCCTTCTTTCCCCACCCAACGTATTTCTTCAGTTTAAAATAGCTTTGTTTTGCAGTAGCATCAAGTAACCTTAATATTGGAGGCCTCAAAGTGACTTTATAACAGCTTTTTGACAAGTTTTTTGATAAGCACACACTTCTTTACCTAAAAGTTGTGTGAGTTTTACACATTAACTTCAGAACTGATTATTTGTTACAGGAAAGTAAACTATCTGCCCTTGTTTTACAGTGCTCAAAGTACATAGGATTCCATAAAATACGAATCAGCTCCTGCTGAACAAGAAATTCATATCTAAGGTCTCAATTTCTGAATTGTGGAAGGCAGTAAGAACTCCTGCATAATGTGTATAGGTGGAACTGATTTTTGGAGGGGTATTCATAAGTCAGGCATTACAGCACATGGGGGAGATCAGACGAGTCGTATTTCCCCCACTGTTCAAATGCAAAGCCAGATTTTGATGCTCAGTAGTTGTTGGGATTTTGGGGCTGGACAGCAGTGAAGCTGTTCTGACAAAATCAGAATAAGAAGAATATAATGCAGCAAAAAACACTGAGTTCTCACATTAAAGATCATGGGGAAGTACTAACATTTTGCATACTGCCTTCATGGTCCTTATACTTTTATCAGAGTTAATAGTTACTAAACATTTTAACACACATTTTGCTGCTTTACACCCATCTTTGCTGCTAAGCAGAGCCTCAGTATCTGTTACAGTTAAGAGGAGGAAATAAACTAACATTTTTAGAATTTTCACTTTCATGCTAATGAAAATTTGTCACTATTTTTATGTATAAAAATGCAAACACATCATAAAAATATAAAGAGGAGTATCCTTAAAGCTGAAGTACATCCTGAAAATGACAGATACTGCGTTGGTCAAGTAGGTTACACATGTATTAGAGCTCTTCTCTGATGAATACTAACATGCCTATATGCTAGTATTGAACTCCTGTAATTATCAAGAGGTTTTTTTAAAAATACTGTGTGCTGTGTAGAGCTGAAAGATTTTTTCATAAAGGTACTCTTAAATCATGATCTACAGAATTGTTTCTGAAGTGTGGATTTTTTGGTCAAAATGTAGCAAAACCAATCATGAAAATACCAAATTAAATAAATTATCAAATTTGGTAGTCATTATGTATTGTTAATATATTTTATATTTATATTACACAGTTTGAGAAATGTTGGCACCACACATGCCTTTTGCTGAGCACTTATTTGTTTATCTTCTAACTGCCTAAGGTACATTTTTCTATTTGTATTTAAAACATTGAGTGGAACACTGTTTATTTCAGTCCCACATATGCACTTAAGATTCTGTGTGTTATAAAGTGCATTCTACATGCCTTTGTAAAATGGGTACACTGAAACAACTTGCATGTGAAGACTTTTTACCATCTGTAAGTGTGGTGGTTGTTCCCATGGGTGAAAGGCAGTAGAATTTCATGTTTGTTTTGAAATAAAACAAATTCTAAGATGCAGCTGCAGTTCAGAAGCGTTATTTGTAAGAATCGTTTTTCATTAAAAATACATTGTTGTGCTATTGATACGGAAACTGGAAGTATAAAAATTGTTCCACACCTGTTTATCATAGATTGTATGTGGTGGACTTTGCTCAGTGTAGTCGTGTGCAATACCTGAAACAGAGTTCAAAAGTCTCCACTGTTGTTAGATCTCAAGCTCTCAAGAAGTTGTGTTTCTCGACCAAAAGGCTGGAAAAGAAGAAAAAGGTTCTAATGGCTTTTTTGGGATAGATGGAAGGAGGGGGGAGGTTACCAGTTTATGAATGTTCTTTCTGAAAACAAGTCAGCCTCCAAAACTGAATGTTTAAGGCAGAATGTTGGTAATGCTGTGGTTATTCGGTGTTGATTTTTTTTAACGTCAAACTATTTTTGCTTTCTCTTCTTGTGCTAAACTTAACCATGATTCTACGTTTTACACATAGATACCATGGATAACCTTCACTTGCATGTCATAGCTGTGGTCCTTTACTTTAATCTCCCTGGATCAGTGGGAACCAAGTCACAGTGGATTCTTCCTGCTACACACCATCGTTCAGAATGCCGGTGGGATGGGCAGTTCTTACTGAATTGCTCCTTTGCTAGAATATCTACTATTCCAGAAGATCTATCACAAACAGCAGTAACAGCTGATTTGAGTTACAATAATATTAAAACTTTTGTGTGCTGTGATGGAAGAAATGAAGAGTGGATGCTAAAACACCTGAACCTCAGTAACAACCTGATTTCTGAACTCACTTTAACTACTTGTACAAATCTACCCATTTTAGAAACTCTAAACCTCAATGGTAATGCCATCCACACCCTCACACTGGACATGCCTTCACCTGCACATGGGTGTAAAAAGTACAGCATTGTTGATCGTCTCCTGCCTGCTTTGAAAGTATTGTCACTTGAAAGAAATAATCTTAATACAGTTCCAAGAGGTAAGCATTTCAAAAATCTTTAAGGACTTGACTCCCAAGGGATAGGTTGGTTTTGCATATAATTCTTGCATCTTACTGAATCCAGAATGTGACTTACTCATTTTATTATACTTAAGATGAGGGAAAGTTCCACCAGCAAATACAGAGGTGGAAGTAAATCTGTTGTTTGTTTACTGTGTTAGGATTTTTATAATACAGTCTTAGCAACTGTCCTGTGTTATTAGCAGTCAAATATAACCAGATTTATCCTTTAAGAGCCCGAGCAGTATTCTTGCTTGTTGTGTAGAAAGGGGGAGTAAGGATCTTTGGAAAAAAAACAGCCTCCACATCCAAGTTGTGAACCTTAAGGTCAAAAAAATTATAAATCATGAATTTCATAGTACCCTTCAGAAGGAAATCAACATTCTTAAATAAAACTTGCTGCAGTTTCAGTATTTCAGAGACAGGAAAATATATTTTGTTCATTACAAACGATTTTGCTCAGTGCTGTTTAATACTCAGTTACAGCGACACCTTGGTGTAACAGGAGAGGGCTGTAAGGTTTCGATAGACTTTGAGAAAGGCTTTGCTGGTCACTGAACTATGCTGGGCAGCTTAGCCTTTATCCAGGGATGATTCACAGTTGCCAAACGGCTCAAATGAAGCAGAAGCTACCAGATGAGCAACCCTGTCCAATATGTTGAATTTATTGATGTCACCGTCAGATTCATTAGAGTTTGAAAATACAGGAGAACAAGTGATGACAAACAAAAATACCACTTATCCCACAAAATCACAAAAAGATAATATATTTTCCCCTACACAGGATCATGAAAGTTCCATTTTTCTCCATTTATGCTATTAAATAATTTTCTGGCACACAGGAAACCCATTTCACTTTATGATTTGGTAGTGTCTGTGTAGACAAGGTATCTGTATAGACAGTAGAGAAAAGCTTACATTATAAAATATATCAATGAAGATTTGATTTGTTTGCTAGATAAATATGACTGCCCATTATAGGATGCCTCAGAAGGTCAGACAGATTAATCCTCTTCTATAAGAGACTTAATTTTTTAAGTTCAAATTTTTGTGCATGGTACCACCATACTTCAAGTTATACTTAAATCCTGTATTCATTTAAATACACATTCAGAACTTTATTCTTGTCCAAAATACTTCACTGAAATTCTGAGGTTTAACCTCTGGAAAGAAAATACAAACTGCAGTTCTATAGCTGAGGTTTCCCACAGAGAAACCCTTCTCCCAACTCCTCCCCCCAGCAAGAGTAAGGCTGCTGCCCACTGCTGCTGTATATTTTTGGCACAAACTGAAATTTAGGGAAGTACCCACAGTACAATTCCTCCTGCAAGTGCACTGATAAATTTATAAACTGCTAGAACTTCTGTATGCCTTTTCCTATCACCAACCTCTAGTTTTATACCATAAATGAATCATTCCCCGTGCTTTTCACAATAAACCCAAAGATCAATTACTTAGCAAACAGAACTGCTGGTTGAGAAAATAGGTTTCTGGTAAACAAGGTGACACCAAGGGCAATTTTTTTAAGAACTAGTAACTTCTCAAAAATACTGCATGATCAAAAATCACTTTAGAGTAACACTGTGGTGTCAAACACTCAGCATCAGTGAGGATGCTGAATGTTCAAGTGCCTGCCTTTTCACTGGACCTTGCAGGCTGGAGCTTCAGGGGCTATCTTCACAGCATCTCAGAAAAATGAGGTGTGTCCAGTAATCGAAAGTGTTCCTTATGTAAGGTGGATGTTATTTTAACTAGGATACACTGAAGAATATATTGTCATGCTTCATAATTCACAGGCAGATAGGCATAAACAACAACATGGTTGTTCCCATTTGGTTTTATATCGTATGAATACAGTTTGAATAATTCCACATATGAAAAACTCCTGTGAAACTGCCCATGCAAATGGATAGGATACTACATCACTTTTTGCATCTCTTTTACTTACAGTCAACATATTTGGATCTTATCAACTCAACATATTCCACCCTTTTTTACCCTCCTATCTCCAGTTCTCCAGAGAAGCTTGCTCAAAGTACAGAGTTCACAATAATTTTGTTAGCACAAAGAAATGCTAGTGCTTTTATGAAAGTGTCAATTTTTAAGACATTCACTGACTGTGAATGTTTTCATGTGCAAGCTGTTGATGCTATGCAGTTTTTAGAGTGGGATAACCCCTGACTAAGAAAGGCATAACACAAAGGCTGCAGCCAATCATTGCAATAATGAGGAATGGAAGGAATTTTGTTGCAAAGAATTTTATAAACATGCAATTGGGAAAACAAGAATATGAAATGTAAAATAGGTTTTTTTATTCCTAGGACTAGGGCTCCTGCAGTCTTTACAAACTGTCCATATGTCATCCAATGCCATACAACAGATTGACCCAAAGGATTTTCAAAACTGTTCACAGCTGAAGGACATTGACCTGCGAAACAACAAGATAACTAAAATTCATCCAGATGCCTTCAGAGATCTGAAAAAATTACAGGTTGCAAAGCAATACAACTGTTTTAATATTTTGTTAATCATTAAAGATGTTATTTACCAACTATCCAGCATGATTATATGATTCTGATTATAATACTAGTCTACAACTAAAAAAATAGAGCAAATAGTGAAAATATTTTTATATATTTGCTTTTTATATGTAGGAAAACACACATGCTGAAAAATACAAGATATAACCATAAATTCACTATTTCTCTATTCTCACTATTTCAAATCAATCCATAACTGCCTTAAACACATACATGTCCCTTTCTACCCCATCCCCTCCATAGCAAGAGCCCTGCAGCTCCCTATTCACACAGAGGTAAGTCTACTATGAGAGAATGTTAAACACCACAATTTTAAACTTTTCATCTACATTAAAAAGCTTAGGACAACATTATTGAAATCCTAAGCAGATGTGTTGTTCACAGAAGTACAGAAGTGCTTGTACACTAAAACACAGTTGTAAGATGTTGCAGTAAGAATTCCATTGTAAGCCTTATCAAATTAATTCTGTATTATTTCCAAATAGGTCGTGGATCTCCGTGAAAATGGTCTGACAATCCCTCTACCAGAGACACTTATCAGTCTGAACTTTTTTCAATTTGAAGTGTATTTGTCAAAGAATGCCAGGATATTTAACTGCAGGCTAAATGCTTTCAAACATTTATTTCATTTTGTCTTTGACTCCACAAGGAACAAATTGAGCCTTTCATACAATAAGTCTGCCAACAATGCCCAGAAACCTCTGCTGTATCTTTCAAGTTTCCATTTAAACTGCAGGGACAATGTTTTACTCAAAAGGGCCACAGTCCCAACAGGGAACAGTCCTGACCTGTAACTTGGACAACATAAGGGGTATGTACATCAGGCATTCCATCCAAAATCAATGCAGAATGATCAAATAAATCTGGTTTTAAAAGTATATTTCTAAAGACACTGTTTAAAAATAACTGAGTAACAATTTAACATGCAAAAATGCTTCATCAGAAAGTAGGATTCTGCTTAGACTATTTAAAAATTAGGTTTCCCTTTGTCCCCTTCCTTACATTAAAGGAGAAGGTGATGCCAAATTATATACAGATAAGTCTCAGTAAGTAGTGCATTGCACATGTATTGGTTCACTTTGCCCTGAAACAAAGGACCAAATAGTGGGGTGGCACTTCTGAGGCATGTAGAAAACCAAGAAGGAGGCAATACTTTTCCGTATTCAGTTACAGCAAAATGAAATGAAGGTTTATTTGCAGGGAAAAAGATTCCTATTTCTTCTAAAAAAGTACAGCTACTGTAGCACACACTTCACTTGCATTTAAAATTAATAGAGGGTATAAGCAACAAAACCTATAGAGCCAAGACTTACCACGCAGATGGAAAACTAAGGCCAAACGTAGAGCAGGTGTATTTGTCATGTGCTGTAAGGCAAAATGATTTAACTCTAATAGACTAACAGCACTTGGAGGTGGTAAGGCTTTCTCCTGGGAATACTTCAACCCAAATAAAAATATGCAGGACCTATCAGAAATGTCCCCTGCTTTTTCTGTTTACAAGAAAAGTCACAGAAACCTGGATTAAAATCAGCACATTGGATTGCAGCAAAACTCAGCTGGGAGTAAAAGCTGATCCAAAGACAAAAATACGACCTTGAAACAAATTGCTAAAAGCCACCAACCAGACATGGCCCACATTTGCTCAAGTTTGGAACAATTGCTCAATCTGTATAAATATCCTTGATATACAGACTTTTTTCTGCAGTCAGATCAGCAACTACAGGAAAATCACAGTGGTTGAAACACTGTCAATTAAGAGGTGGTTTTATCCCACAGCTGCACACAGTGACCGTGGCCAGGCTGCAGAGCATCTGGCTGTAGCCAAGTCTCTTCCACAAGGAAGAGCAGCAGGTGTTTCTAGTACACTTCAACTTGCTTAGATGATTTCAGTGATCTCCTCCCTCACACTACTATTTTTCTTGTAAAATCTGCGATTAAGATCCCACATCTTCTGTGTTTTTAGATGGGAGGCAGTGGGGACGGGCCTGTAATATGGTTTAACTGACTTTGTACCATGTAAAATTATTTAGGATTAATAAAAGGAAAATTAGGTTTATAATAAACATAAAATTACGGGAGATAGTCCAGAGTATATTCTTAAAAACATCACTCGACCCTGCAAACCAGGTATACTATGCTTTTAACAAAGACTGAGTTTGTATTTTCTTTCATTTCAGGCAATGGAGTTTCTTGGTGGACACCTAAGGGCAGAATTTCAAAAAATCACAGTCTTCCTGATATGACACTGGATAAAATGAATAATTTAGTGATATACAATGCTGAGAAAACTGCTGAAGGATTATATTTGTGTCTTTTTAATACAACAAAAGAGAAATATCTCATTTACGATATAGAGGTGAAAGAAGGAGTTTCAGCATTTTTGGTTAGAAAAGCCAGGGACACGAACGCTGTTTTTAGACAGAAAGAAACAGAGTCAAACTTTGCACTGGCTGTCTCCCTCTCTGTACTCATCACATTTGTTTGTGCTTTTTGTCTGGGTGCTTTTGCTAGACCCTACCTGGAGAGGCTGTGGAGACTCATGTGCAGGAACAAAAATTCAGGTCCAGAGCACACGTATTCTAATCAAGCTTTTTCAGATGAAACCTTGAGTGGTGAGCCTGGCAGTGGTGTACATTCACCAAATCCCAAAGCACAGTACCAGAAACAAAGCAAAACTGAGATCAACTTGAAGAAAATACCAATGTCTTCAAAAGTCCAACCTAGTATTGACGATAATGAAAGTACAAATATTTATGATACTGAACTATTTTTTGGTAGGACAGACTACCAGAACAGCAATGAAATAATACCAAAAAGCAAAGTAAGAAACAACTCTGTCCTGCTGCATTCTGAGATCACAAAAATGAGACCAGATTCTCCAGAAAGAAAAGGCATTGCTTCACATAATGAACCCAGGCACGCTAAAAAATTTACGCAGGGAAGGCAAAATTGTGAAAAACAATTTGGTCTAAATGGCAACAAAAATATACCTAGTGATGTTGGAGATTTTATTTCATCCAGTAGCTCCAGAAGATATGCAGATAATGAGAATTTAAGCATCTATGAAACAATAGGAAACTCTCCCCTTACAGAGCATGACTATAAAAGGATACATTCACATGAAAAAGATGCTTCAGCTGATATATTTGGTGACAGTTCTTCATCTGAAGGGATTCCATTCACAATGAGTGATTCTAGTTCTTTAGCAGACTTTGAACTGGAACAATCTGATATTCGTGAAAACTTTCCAGTCTGTCAGTCATTGCCAGATGAAGCCAACACAGACAGTGGAACCGAGAAGTTTGCAACACCACCAGAGTCTCCAGTCATTACTGCTGAACTTCAGGAGACTGGGATAAATGAAGATGAGAACAGTGCCTATTTTGAAACCAGTATTAATTATGGATCAGATACCACCACACGTGAAACAGCATCCCCTTACACTGATAAATGCAGTGGCCATGTAATGGTGTCAGATCCAGATACAGTTAGCTCTTCAAGTCAAGAAATTCCAGATACATTTGATTATTTTGCTAATACAGAATCAACAGTACAAAACTCTATTTCTGATTCTCTCCACAATCAAAGTACAGATTTTGGTAACACTGTATTTAAGTTAAAACATTTTCCCCCACATGACACAGAGAAAACTTCTGAAGAGGATGAACTACAGCTGTCTCTGCTTCCCAGAGAACCACAGCATTCCCTCAGCTTCACACACACGGAACAAAAAGAAAATGCACCAGCAGAAAGTACAGATGAGCACACAGCCAGGAACTCCCCAGAAAAGAATCATGGTGAAGCAGACATTACATTAAGAAATATGAGTACATCTGAGGACAATGGCTTTATTTTTGCTCCCACTGATACTGGTTTGAATGAAGTTGTAAAAAAACCATCACTGCTGCATTCCAGCAAAGAATCATCTCTTCAATTGCTGTCTGAACACACAGGTGAAAAACATTTCATGTTTGTTACGCAGCAAGATCACTTGCTACCACAGGAGAAGCAGGCTTGTGCAGATAAAATGCAAGAAGGTTCTGATGAGAAAAATTCTGATGAATTCAAAGAATTACAGGATACCAACAATTGCAATCTACCTGAAGAAATGCAGTCTTGTAATCCTACACCAGTTCTGCTGCATCTTCATAGTTCTGGGAAAACACAGTCAGAATTCACAACTGATGATTGCTTCCAACTGAATCAGAGTGATGAGGATGCAGATTCCTTCTCAATCCCACAAGGTTTCTTCAGTGAAAGCACACCATACAGTTCATATTCCTTCCCACAAAAGCCTATAGGAAATACAATCTCTGAAAGCACTGATTCCAGCAAGATGAAGGATCACACTACTTTGACAGAACTGGAGAACCATTCTGCAACAACTGTAGAACACCTCCAAAATTCCAGTGAAAATCTCAGCAAAAAAAGTCAGACAAATTCAGGACAGAACCCGTTTTTTGTTAAGAAGAAAAGAGCATTTGATGGATTTGCTAATATTTTGCAAAGCCAGAGAACAAACTTCAATAGTTGAAACACAAAATGGTAATACTAAGCTTCCACAGTGTTTGTCATTACAGCAAGTGCGAACTTTATTTTGTATTAAAGTGAAATTACTTTTGTTTAGAAGGGTACTCGTAAAAAAAACAAAAATAGACTTTATAAAAAGGTACTCCAGAATATTAATAAAGCTTTTACTGAATTATATTTACTTTCTCATTATTGGTAGCTGATACTAATATATCATTTCCCTTGGAATTTGCTTCAGATACTCACTGTTTCATCTTTTTGCCTAAAATAAATGCAAAATGGAAATTTATATTATTACTACCATTGTGTTTTCTTATAGCACTCAACCTATACAGTGAAATAGTATATACTACCATCTTCTGTGTTTTGAGACAGATTTGTGGATTACCTCTGAATTCCTAGTGTTGCAAAGATAAATAAAGTCCAAGCAGTATTCAATTACATTTCAAAAATTACTTTTTAACTTGGCAAAAGAGAGAAAACCACCTTTCTCAAAGAAACAGAATAGACTTCAATTCTTGCAGAAACATCAGTTATAGAAAGTTGCTATAATGAGACATCACCCCAAGTTTGCAGATGTGGTGACACAGGCAGGGTGATTTAAAAAAAAAAGATAAAGGATCCTATACGCACTTGAGAATTTTACTTAAGAGGGGGAAAGAGCAGTTCAAAACTGTTATTTTAGAACATCAGTAGCCAAAAGATAGCAAATGTAAGGTAAAATTACCTCTGAATATAGCCCAAGGCCCTTTCAACAGACTCAGTATCACTGATACAGTCCTTGAAGAGAAATGTCATCATGAAAGGGAGCAGACCCAGTTCTGGGAAAATGCAGGAAGCTGGCTACATCTCTGGGAAAACTTCCACAAAGACACTATTAACTCCTAGAAACTCCAAACAGAAGGAACACATTTCAATTCCTTCACAAGGGGATTAAGTCCAATGGCACACTACATCACTGAAACTACCTTTAAAGAAAAAATGAAAAACAAAGAGCCCCCACCAGCTTTCAGTAAAGCTCATTATCCAGACAAGTTCTTTGTGGGCAAAACAACTTTAAAAATGCAAGGCCTGAAAAAAAGCACTGACTTGCTCTTTTTGATATCTATGGGTCTTCAAACACCATTAACAGCTCTCCAAAGCCTGTCATCTTTTGGCTGTTGCAGCTGCTAAAATGTTAGAAATCTAACTATACAAGCAAGCCCATTTTGTGAATCATGGGGAAAAAAACCCACTCAAGTGCTCTACTGGTATCTCATACACTGAAATGTTTTGCCATTTGCTTGTGGAACAGTCCAATAGAATTTCAAAATACATATTGGAAAATCTTTTTTCCTGACCATGAGAATGCTGCAGTGGTGAGGCAGACAGTACACTACTTGTGAGAAGCTGCAGGACTTCTAAGATTCCCTTTATACCATAAAGTTGTGGGAAAGTTTCTGTTTTCATCAGGCAAAGTAAATTCGCTCCTTTATAGTGGGATTTTAGTATGTGGAAAAGTATTCATTCTACTGTCAAAATACTATGTTTCATCTCTAACTTATCTTCGTATTTCTGCCTAATCTTGCCACTGTCCTTTGCTACTCATCTCTCCAGTCTTACTATCACATCTTCATTAAAATCCAAACACTCAATTGCTTCTCCTTCTTATTAGTTTACTTCATTAGCAATTGCTCTTTAATACAAAGCCTTTGTATTTTCTGTGACTTCCACACAGAACTCATCATACTCTGCTCTTCCCTACCCACCCCATGTTAGTATGCCCTTCTATATAGAATTAGCTACACAGTCCCACACACACAGACCCCAACATTGTATCCTCACCTTTCTTTACATTTCATCCACTGTATCTTGTTCACACTGAAAACTGATTTAGCTTCATTGGCCACTGGGAATTTTCTAGGACACCTATACTAGTAGGAAGTCCATTGCTGTTACTATCCCAGCTGACTGTAGGTAATCAAAGTCACAGAATAAGCTCGATAAAAAAGGTGCCTGAGCGTATGCTGTATGAATTTGCAACTGAAGCATGAGGAATCAGCCAAGAGGATGTCTGGACACACCGTTCTCACAGGGCAATGGCCTGCCGAGCTCCACAAGTGACAGGACACAGAATCCCTCATACAGTGAATCAGGACAGGAAAAACTACAGGTGTTTTAAGAGCAGATCAAGAACTTCAAATACAGTAACCAGAATGAAATAAAACTCATTTCAAACACATAATAGTTTGATAATTGTCAAGTTATTTGCTGTAGGTACAAAGCATTTCAATCTTTCTTGAATATGCTGAAAATTGGGCTAGAAATTAACCCTTAAATATAAGAAGACATGCACATTTAACCTACACATAACAAACAAAAGAAACTGTTTTGGATAGTAGCAGTAAATTTTTCACAGTAGAGAAGACTGTGACTCACCCCCTATGATGAATACAGATAAGCAACAGCCTACATTCTGAGAATTGGCAAAGTCAATCCCAGCCTTCATCAGAAACATAAACACAATGAAAAACTTATTCAGGATGAGTTCTGCATTACAATATTCTAATTGCAATGTAAATCCATTGATTTCAAGTAATATTTTAAGTCAAGGTTGGAAGCAATATCTGGAGGTCATTTAGTTCAACCATCCTGATGAAGCAGGGCCACCTAGAGCCAATTGCTCAGGACCATGTTCAGATAGCTTTTGAGTATCTCTGAGGATAAACTCAGTAACAGTGCATGGTGACCCTCACAGAAAACAGCAGCAGTTCTTGATGTTCAGATGGAGTCTCCTATGTTTCAGTTCATGCCCACTGTCTGGCCCTGTCACTGGGCACTGGCTGAAGAGTCTTTGTCTTCTTTACACCCTTCCTTCAGACATTTAAATACTTTAGTAAGACTTCCCACAGCACCTTCTCTTCTCCAAGCTAAACAGCTATAAGCCTTTCCTCATAGGAAAGAAGTTCCCATCCCTTCATTATGGCCCTCCATTCATGGCCCTTTACTGGACCCTCTCTGGAATGTCACAGGATTTCTGGTACTGGGATGCCCAGAACACGACACAGTAGCCAGGTGTAGCCTCACCAGTGCTGTGCTGTGTAGGAGGGAATAATTATCACTCCGCTGGCAATACTTTGTCTCAATCAGACCAGGAACCACTCACCTTCTTCACAGCAAGGATTATTGCTGGCTCATCTCTGATTTGGTGTCTGTCAGGACCCCCAGTCCCTTTTCCCAAGTTGTTTTCCAGCTGGGTGGCCCTCAGCAGATACTGGTGCAGGGGGTTGCTCCTCCCCAGCTGCAGACTTGGCACTTCCCCTGGATGAAGCTCATGTAGCTCCTGTCAGGCCACTTCTCAAGCTTGCTGAGGTCCCTCTGGAAGGCAGTATGATCCTCCGGCCTATTATCCTTTACTTCCAGCTCTGTCATAGCAGCAAACTTGCTGAGGAGACACTGTGCCACATCACCTGGGTCAGTAACGAAGCTGTTGAATAGGACTGGACCCAGCTCGGAGCCTGAGGATACAGCACTAATTACTGGTCTCCACTAAGACTTTGCTCTGCAGAGCACCACTCTCTGGGCCCTGAATTTTCAGTTTTTAGTCCACCTATCTGCTTATCCAGTCCATACATTGACACCTTGTTGAGGACCTTGTGGGTCAAAAGGCTGGATTTGATGAGTGGTAACAATTATGCTTCTGTAAAATTTTGTCTTGAGACATTTCTGCTTGAATTGACTTGCTGTTGAAGACTTTTGTATTACAGTGCTGTTTTACACTGACACACTTCATTTGAACCATAACCTTTCTGAAACACATACCTGTTCCCAATAGATTTTTGCTCTACTATTAGAAACAAGGAGGACAAGAACCTACACACAAATTCCCTGCTAATACTTGATAAACACTGCCTGCTGATGTATGTTCAGATATGAGAATTTCTGAAGTATGAATCACAGAAAAATCTGAAGTCAGTTTCTGAAACCAACACAAATACTGTTTATTTGTGGGATGCCATTTTACAACACCATGAAAAGACCTAAAAAAAAAAAATCAACTGGATTAACTCATTTTAGGTGGCATAATAGTATTTTCATCATATTGTGAGTCACAGGAGTTTAGCACACCTTTTTAATGTAATATCCAAATAACTAAGACATAAAGCATTCACAGTTACAGGTTAACTGCTGTTCCTGCAACAGCAGTGTCAGTAGGTGCTATTTTGACACATGTACAAATGCATAGACACACAATGGGGGAGCAGATGAGGATTTAAAAAATAAAAGCAAACAAAAAAATAAAAAAGCTGAATTTTGGTCTCAATTACAGAAAAACTATTCCGTTTGTGGATGGATTCTATATACTTGTAGAACAATATGAAGAGACAAAATATAAGGCCTAGAAAGAGGTATGTTAGCAGCTATAAATAAAACCAGGGCACGAGCTAACCTTTCAAGTTGCCTATATTAATTTCCAAGAGTATCAAACAATTTGTTAGACTTGTGACTAAGGATCAATAGAAATCTGGGAAAACCTTAACACAACTGAAGTACATTTCTAGTCCTTCAAAACAGTCACTTGGGAACATTAACCAAGTAGCAATAAGCTGTAACTAATTTTGATTGTGTGAGCATATTTCTGATGAAATGAAATGTGTGTTTGTGGTAAAATGGGAGAAGCCTCTGCAGAATTAGAAATGGCTACACAAAGATAACCCAACCATTTATTGTAGCTCAAAGACAACCTTAAAGAGGTTTTAACTGAAAACTCAAGTGCATAAATAATTTCAGTAATTTCTATGTTCTTCAGCTTGCTTTCCTTGGAAGAGCTAAAAAGTGAAAAAACAACAGTAATAGAGAATTATATTAATACTTTAAATACTTAGTATGACTTTGCTTTAGAAGGAAATTTAATTCATGGACTGTTTTGGTTACCAACGTTAAGAGAATCATTTAGGTTGAAAAGATCCTTAAGATTATTGAGTGCAAAGAGCTCCAAATATTTGTCATCTATCAAAGAACATCAACTTCTATAGTCTC